CGATCTAAATATTCAAAAAAATTCATCTCTGCATAGTCGCACCCTTGCTCTGACTTCTTCACCATTAACCGATGTCAAGTCGTCCATGGCCACCCTTTTCCTAAACCCGAATCTGCCCGCCTCTTCTGCCTTCAACCACTTCTTTTATCCAGCTTCAAATTGTGTATTTGAAAGATATAGTAATTGGCCTTTTCTGGTTTTTCTTTTACAATGTTTTTTAGAAATCGTTTGATTTGATGTGATTTTTTCTGGATTTTTTGTTTGATATCTTACATGTTTTTTGCATGTTAATGAAATTGCAGGGAGCTTGCTATGTTTTTCTGGCACTGCCTTTTAATAAGAACTGGAAATTTGTTGTCATGATATGTATCTTTTATTTTTAAAGGTATTTGGGAGGGTTTGTAGATGGTTTTCCTTGTATGTTATGTGCAATGGTTAAAAGAGATGGAAAAGAACAGATACAAATTATTTGCATTTCTAATGTTACAGTAAGATCCAAAGGTTGGTGAAATGTCCTGATTTCTGGTAAGTGCTCCCCCATTCCATAGTTAACCGTTATCAAGTTCACAACTTACAATAGCTTATCTTTGGTTGACTATTCTTACCATTTGAATAAGCTTCATTAGGTTTAGTACAACTTTTGCTTTAGAAGAACCGAAAACTCCACCTGTCAAGGTTAAATATACTAAGATCCTCATTAATGGATAATTTGTGGATGCATCTTCAGGTAAGCTCTTCAATAGATTGTTTCATGAAACTCCATGTATCCTTTTGTTATTTTTTATAACTCAACTTTTCTTAATCAAACTATCTATCACTTGGTGTGTTATATTATCTTTTGGTAATTATATGGAGGATTAAAAAAGGAGAGTAAAGTTAGACGTCATTTCTCTATCATTGGGTTTAGCAAACATCTTTGTGTATAATATATGATGGTCAACAGATTCAAAAATAAGGGATGCTTTAGCTTCCTATTATCTTCTGGGATTATTCACGTTGCTATCAACTTTCTGGCCTACCTAGGATCCGTGTTAGTACTTGCTATTTATGAATGGTGATTGTTGTTTGTACAGGTTGTCCCTTGGTGAAACTGTTTTAAGATGTAGATTTTGGATATATTGATGATGCTCGTGGAAAAAATGATATTACTTTGGAAAGGTACAAAATCTTATTTCTTTTCTTGCTTTAAGTTGGTTTTATTATAGGATTACTATTTATTTTGGGAATTTTTAGATTTCAAGGGTATAATTGTCTAAAATGAAAATTGAAAAGTACTAGGCATTTTTTAGGTTGATAAATTCGATAATGGTAGCATATTTCAAAATTTTTCTTTTTATTGATAAAGATAAGTAATAAAATATGGAATTTGAGTAGATCTGATGTTAGAAGTTTGGGAAATATAAAGATCAAATTTTGGTTTAAAATGGAAATATCAATTTACTTTGTTATAAGTAGGCTTAGAACCAAAATTTGTGAATTTAAATCGAAAATTTGTATCTTTGATTGTTTCGCATTCTATATTCCATGTTTTATATCATTGGGGATACGATTGTTTGTGTTTTATGTCATTTTGACTTTCACATTAAAGCCAAATCATCAACATTGGTCTGTAGTCACTGATTTAGCCAAGTTATAACAGTAAACATTATATCTTTTAATCTTTTTAGCGTAAGTTGAAACTTCATTACCATTGAAACACTTCTCTGGTGAATATCAATGATAGATGCTGAGCAACAATTATTGGTCTAATAAAAAAGGTAATGGAATTAAGTATAGAGAAGGGTTGGATGAAAAAAAATGGTAATGTACTTTGAATAAAATTACCAATAGAAAGCTCTTAAAGAAATTACAACTTTTTTTTCATGAAAATGTCAACACATTTTCTATATTTATTAGCCCCCTTTTCAAATTATAATGTCCTAATAGATAAAAAAAACAAAACAACGATATTACAATTGGTAGATTTTTCGAAGTATAATATTTTAATAAGAAAACGTTGACAACATAGTGCTATATTAGAAAGAAATCAAAGTTGCATGATATGACAAAACAAAAGTGTAATAGGAGAAATGAAAGTAGAATGGTATAATAGTCAAATAAAAAAAGTATGATGCCATTTTTTTGTTATCTTGGAATGGAAGACAGGTAGTATTACCATCTTCTGCTCTTATGTTATCTGATGTACTGTTATTCGCCTGACACTGAAATTTAAGTATTAGAAGCCCTTACAAATTTAAAATGGTATGTATGTATGCATTATAATAACAAGTTTTTTTTTGGATTTCTTAGGGATATTTCAAGTAGGAAAGGATTTGGAAACCAAAAATACGAGAGTTGAGTATTTGACAGTTGCATAGATACAAGAGTTGGTGTCGCTTGTTCTCTCTTTTTTAGTTGCAAATTGCAGTATCTATGTATTTCTTTAAATTTGAGTTTAAATGTTAGATGATACGAGTCAGATTCATTTTCCATTGACATTTAAATATTTCTTTTTAATACTTTTTAAGTGTGCAATAGAAAATGTAGTTCAAACTGAAATCTACTCTAATAAACGAAGGGTTTTTGCCACATGTCACATTCTCATTCAATTTGTCAAATGTCATTTTTTGGTTATTTTGAATTATCTTTTTTCCACATGTCATTTTATGAGTTTTTTTATTTTATTAAATTCCACATAATATTTTAATGTAATAATTATAATAAATGTAGTAAAAATAGATATCAATTTCATTAATGGACTTACCTTTTAATTTCAAAATTCTCGTATTAAAGCTTATTAATTTCTTTTGTTTATTTATTTAAATTATTTGTTTAAATTTAAAATATAAAAAAACATTTCAATTTTAATAATTCATTATTTTTCTTATTTTTTTATTTATAAATTTAAAGTTCTCAAATATTTAGACGTTTATATCTAACCTTTTTTTTAAAAATTAACTCATGTAATACATAGGTCTCATAACTAGTTCATTAAATATAGCTAATTTAAAGATGACTAATCAAAACTTATACGGCTCATATTAAAAATAATAATTTTGAAAATATCCAATAATAATTTAAAAGATCATAACGATGTTTAATTGTCATAATGTTTCATAGTAGAGTATCTTTTAATAAAGTTAATCTAAGAATGTAATTTTTTTTAGATTTGACTAAAAAGATTTTATTTTTTTCTTATAATTTTCTTTATTTTAGAATATTAGTTATCAATAAGAATATCAGTTAAAACAAAGCTATGAAAAATCCATATAAAGCTTAGGCTTTTAAATTAGTCAACATTGTACTATCTTTTATCGTTAGTTGTATATATTTCAATTAGTAGTCCCTATCGTATTAGAGTTAAACCATAAATAAATTATTCATTAGTAATATCTATTAGATTATCTACATTAATCTTAAACATCTATATTAATATAAAGTAAACTTATAATAGCTTTAAGATCAAACATTATCAAATAATAAAAAATCTACATTTTCCTACTATAACTTTAAGTATAATTTATTTAATAGTAATAAATATCTGATTATAATTATGAGATACATCTTCATCGAAATAAAATAATATTCGATGCATTGCGTGTTCTTTTTGAAAAAGTTCTTCCATGTGTGGTTGAAGATTTTGAAATGAGATTCATTATATTCCGGTTGTTTGGGACGGGCCGACTTTAGATTTTATGAGGTTTGCTTTGAGCTCTTACAAGGAAAACAAGCTCTAAGTCATGATGGTGATTTTCTAATATGCATTGTTAGATGTTGAAGTAAAGGATGTTTAAGGATTTTGGTTGGTAAGAATGGAATGGAATGGATAT